TTTCTTCTAGTTTATGACAGTTGTTCCTGCTTTTCACCTAGGGCTCTTTGGTGAATAGTTGTTTGCTTAGCCCCTGATGCTCAACCCAGACATATTTGTAAGCTGCCACCAAATCCCCCTGAATTCTTCTTCTCTTTTCTAGGCTGAACAGTCCAGTATCTGTTAGCCTTTCCTCATACGGCTTGCTCTTCAGGCCTCTAATCATAGAAGTGGCTCTTCTCTGGACTCTGAGTGCCCTGAACAGGACTCAGTACTACAACTGTGGCCTCACCAATGCCGAGTAGAGTGGGAGAATAAATTCCTTAGTTTTGCTTGAGATCTAATCTATGTAGGTCCGCCTGGATCGTCCGCCTACCCTGAGTTGTGGTCATACTTCCCTATAGCTTAAGGGAATTTGCAAGCTTTGCCAGTACGCTTTTCACCCCCACATCATTGATGAAGAAGTTGAAAAGCATTGGTCCAAGTACCGAACCCTGGGGGACCCCACTGGCTACCTTCTGTCAGGCTGACACAGATCCGTCTATTAGTAACCTCTGGGTCCAACCCTGCAGCCAGTTCCCCACTCACCTGACCACTGAATTGTTGAGTCCATAGTCCCTTAGTTTTACCTTGAGAGCCTCATGGGACACTAAGTCAAAAGCCTTCCTAAAGTCCAAGTAAATGACATTGCCCTCTTCTCCCTTATCCAGGTGGTGAGTAACCTGGTCGTACACGAGTTTAGTCAGACATGACCTACCTGCAACAAAACCATGCTAGCTGTTGTTCAGAATTTTGCCTTCTACTAGCTTATCGGATGTGGACTCCCCGAGAAATTTTTTGAGGATTTTTCCTGGGACTGAGGTCAGGCTAATCAGCCTGTAGTTCCCTGGGTCCTCTCTCCTCCCCTTCTTGAAGGGCACAGCATTGGCCCTCTTCCAGTCTTCTGGGACCTCTCCTGAGCACCACATATTCTCAAAGAGGTTCACCAGCAGCCCTGCGATGACTTCAGCTAGTTTGTTCAGCACTTTCAGATGAAGTTCATCCGGTCCTGCCAACTTATAGATATCCAGTCTCTCTAGCTGCTCTTTCACCAGCTCTACATTGCTGTTGGTAGGGACCTACTGTGACTATTCCATGTCATATTTGCATTTGGCAAGATATCACTCTGACTGGTGGAATGCAGATGTGAAGTACTCATTCAGTTCTGTTTTTTCCTTGGTGCTGGTGACCAGATGTCCAGATGCATTGAGCAGTGGTCCCACATTTCCACTGGTTTTCCTCCTGTTATCCATATACCTACAGAACTTCTTATTGTCCTTGAGTTTGGTTGCTAACCTGAATTTGGTCACCGCCTTTGCTTTTCTAATCTGCCCCTTACAGGTGTGGACACATCTATTTTGCATACAGGTATGGACAACTTCTGTGCACAGAGGATCGTGTTCTTGAGGAACGACCATTCTTCATCCACACACTTTCTCTGTGGTCCACAATCCCTTAGGGCATTAGTTACTAAAGTCCTTAGCTTAGCTGAAGTCAGCTTTTTTAAAAGTCAAGAATTTGTACCTTACTGACAGATTTCCCAGCCCTATCAGAGACAGTGAAAGTGACAGTGTTGTAGTCACTGCCGCCTAGGTCACCCTCTATTGTCAGATCACTCACCAGATCATCCCACTTGGCCAAAACTAAATTTAGGAGGGCATTTCCTCTGGTCAGCCCATATACTTCCTGAGACAGGTAGAACTCGTTGATACAAGTCAGGAATCTATGCGACCAGTCAAATCTAGCCAAGTGTTCTCCCCAGGAGATGTCTGGCTAGTTAAAAAGTCTCCCATGACTACCATACCCCATGCTCTCACAGCCTCTTCCAGGTCTCTGGAGAATTCCAGATCTAGATCCTCATCTCGATTCAGAAGTCTGTAATATATTGCTACAGTAAGGTCCCTTTTCCCACGTCTTCCACTCAGAGGATCTCAGGTTGCCCTTCCAATTTCAGCTTCCAAGGAGGTGTACTGCTCTTTTACATAGAGAGCTACATCTCCACCCTCTTTCCCTCTGTGATCCCACTTATGCAGGGTGTAGCCCTCTATAGCCACAGTCCAATCATGGGTAGAGTCCCACCAGGTCTCTGTTATCCCTACATCATCATAGTCCCTACTGGGAAGCAGGAGGGCCAGTTCCTCCTGTTTGCTCCCCATGCTCCTGGCATTTGAGCCCTGTGCTGGAGGTCCTCAGTTTCCTGTAATGTTGAGGGAGCTCCATTCTCTCAGCTCATGCTATAGTGTCCTTCCTGTCATCTCCTGTTGTAACAGTTGTTCATTTGTTGGTCTCTAGGCTTGCTCCACTCATTCCCCCGTCCCACAACAATCTCAGTTTAAAGCCCTGTCCAGGAGGTCTGTCATCCTAGCCAAGAAAATAGCCTTCCTCTTCGGCATGAGGTGGATTCTGTCCCTTCCTGGAAGACCTCTGTCTCTGGAGCGCGTGCTGTGGTCAAGGAGGCCAAAACCCTCTTGGTAGCACCATCTTCGGAGCCTTCGGTTCACCTCTTTGATACATCTGTCTCTCCTAGACCTGCAGCCCACAACCAGAAGGACAGAGGAGAAAGCTACCTGCACCCCCAACTCCTTAAGACCAGTTCCCAGAGTTCTGTAGTCACTTGTGACCTTGCCAGGATTGCTCCAAGCAGTGTCATTTGCGCTCATATGGATGCCGAGCATGAGGTAGTGGTCAGAGGGTCAGACAAGTTTAGAAATCCTCTCTGCCATGGCCCAGATATGGGCCCCTGTGAGGCAGCAGACCTCGAGGGGTCAGGGTGGCAGATTGCTCCCTTTGTCCCTCTCAGGAGGGAGTCAACCACCACAACCACCCTGCATCTCTTTTTAGGGGTGGCAGCTAGTTGACTAGGAGACTCTGACTGGGAGAACCCCCAGAGACTGCAGGGCTGCTTTCCTTTCTGTCATACAATCCCATCTCCACACAGTTTCACTGGGCAGCACCCACTGGTTCCTTTGACTCATTTGTGAGCCAATGGGCACTGTACCGTTCTGCTTAGTGTCCCCCCTTGGCACACTAGTTAATGACCCAACCTCTGCTTGTATTTCTGAGCAGTTTCACTGGTTGCCATCCACAGACTCACTCGATTCATTCAGGGGACAGTGGGCGCTCTGCTTGGTGCCCCCTTCCAGATCCCTTGTACTAACTTATGACCCTGCTCCCCTTCCCATTTTCTTTTTATGAATCCCATGAAATCAGTTGTTGTATCCCCAGTGGCTCCTTTATTAAAGGAGGCTTAATAGTACTTTATGATGTGCCTGAGCCTATGACTAGGGCATGTCAAATAGGACGGTAGGGTTACCATATGTCTGGGTTTTCCCAGACATGTCCTCTTTTTGGGGTTTCCCCATCTCCATCTGGGGGCGGGATTTTTAAATTATCAGCAAATGTCTGGGATTTTACCCTGGTTCTGCTTTCCTGCCTTCCCCAAGCATGCCAGCTGCAGGCAAGACACTTGCTTTTACTACCTGGCTCAGATGATAGCTGCTCACCCAGCCCGCCCCCTCCCTCCCTCCCAGATGTAGGGAACAGGGCTCCTCCCACCCCATCGCATTAGCCAGCAGAGGGGAGGTGGAGGGGTCACAAGGGGCCTCTGCTGTGACCGATGCAGCCAGTGACTGTCCACTGGGGCATTGTTGTGGTGACCTGCCACCTCCTCCTGTTCTGCTCAGGATCCCTCCTGCAGCGGCAGGGAAGGAAGTGGCTGCCACAGCTCTCTGCTGGTGTTAGCACTTGCATGCTCAGCTGGGACCTTGTGGACCTTGGTACCCACACGCCTGCTGGGCTGGGCTGGGCCAGGTCATGGCACAAGGCCCTGGGTGGGGCAGGGGGAGCTGCAGGAGCTACCATGCTGTCCCTCCTGTGCCTCAGCTCTGCTAGTGGCTGGAACTGCACAGCAACAGCCCTCAGGCTGAAGCAGGGATAGGAGGCAGTGTCTCCCTGAGCTGCAGGGGGAGGAGCTGTGGCATGCTGGTACCAGCAAGGCCAGAGTGCAGCCAAGGTGCCTCAGCACCTGGGTGCTCTGAATGGGATGAGGAGGACAGGGGCACTCTCTGCTCCCCCCTGGCTTTCTTCACCCCTCCTTTAATTCCAGCCCTCTTGCTGGCCCCATCTTTATGTCTTTTGAAACTTGTCCAAGACTGGGCCTTGTGCCATACTGCTTCCACCTGGAGCCTCCAACCCAAGCTGCCTTCCTTCCCCCCTCCACCCGGAGGCAGGGCTGTCGGGCTTCCAGGCCTGAGATTCTCCACCCGGTGCAGCAGCAGCACCGTGGGGCGCCTTGAGAGCCTTTCAAGGTTGCCGTGAGGCGTTAGCCGCGTAAACATGACCTCACGAGATGAAGGACCTATCGCTGCCCCCCACAGCCATACACCCGCCCCCCCAGCACAGGTGCCCTCTTTTCTGGAACTGGAGATGAACGAATAGGCGGATGCTCAACCCAGGGTTTTCCCTTGCTCCACTCACACTCGCGGCCCGGGCCGGTCCCGCTCAGAGCCGCCCTTTTTCCTGCGGGAATTTGCCCGAAGCCTTTTCGACCCTGGCACCGCCCCCTGAGCGGCAGCGCGGGGGAAACGGACCCTTCTCCCGGCCCTTAGCACCGACCGACCCCCGCGCAGCGCAGGAGGGGCCGAGTGCCGCTTCTCTCCCCCAGCCGCTCCCCGGCTCCCCCCGCGCCTGCGGGAACGGCTCCCGGCAAAGCCCTCCCGAAAAGCTTCCACCACCCCTTTCCTCGCGGAGCACTCCCGTCACGGCGCCAAGGTAGGAGCGCAGAGCCTGGACCGACCCGGCCGCGCACTCACCCGCGGCCTCACCTTAGCCCGCCGCTGTCTCCAGCCGCGGAGCCGTTACCGCCAACCTTCAAATTACGTCTCTCGGCGCCAACCAATCAGAAAGACGCGACAGTGCGTAAGGGGCGGGGCCTTATGGGCGCCTGCGCGTGACAGCAGGAAGGGGCGGGGCGGCCTGGCTTCACGTGTCCGCCCCGGGTCACATGACGCGCTGGGAGCGGTGGGGTGGCCCGCAGAGCGGGATGGAGGCGCGGGTGTCGTACGATGACTACCCCGTGGTGTTCCTGCCGCCCTACGAGAGCCCCCCAGCTTGGATCCCACCCCACGAGGTTGGTCGGACCAGGCGGGGGTTGCTGTGGGGCTGGGGAATGGGCCTCAGCCCGAGCCCGGGAGGCCCCGGGTGTCGCCTCCCCTCGCTGTGCTGGCGGCTATCTGTCCGGCTGCGGCCCGGGGACGGGGCAAGGTCCTGGGGGGAGCGGAAGCGTGTTTTTGTGAGGAGCCAGCTGAGACGGCAGGAGGCCCGGTCCCCGCCTGGCCGTGGAGCCCGGCTGTCCTGCTGCCGGCAGGGCCCCTCGTCCCGGCGATGAGCAGCGCGGGTAGGCCAAGGCCGTGCCCGCTTCTTTCCCCATTCACGTTGGGCACCAGGGATGCTTGCTTACCTTTGATGAAACTTGAGTCATCCAATTATTTGTACTGTGGTAGCAGTCACACACCCTGGCCTACACCAGGAGCCAGTTCTGTTGGGTGCTTGGAGCTGCCTCTGTAACAGTGGCCTGGGTGAAGCAAACCGGGTGTTTCTTGGGGAGGGACTGGGGCAAAGTGACAGCAATGGGATCCCGCCATGATGCCCCATTGCCCTGTGTAAGGCTACTACGACTATATTAGTCAGTACTCGATGTCCCTGGGGGCTCCCAGCCTTGGCAGCACATCATTGGTGTCGCATTCGCATCTTGAGCCCATGCAGTGTGGAAATCCCTTGTGGAAATGAGACACTTGAGGAGCTGAAGGCTCCTGAAGAATTTTCCACTCACTTACAGTGACAATGTGCTTCACAGAGAATTTACCACCCTGATTACAACAATGAGCTGACCCAGTTCCTGCCCCGCACCATTGTGCTGAAGAAGCCACCAGGAGCCCAGGTGAGAAATCCTGGGGTGCAGCTCTAGCCCCAAGCTGACCACAGTTTGCATGCTCCTTTTACCTTCATGTGGGATCCACTGACCAGGATGGACCAGTTTGTGCTTCTCCCTCCCACCTGTAAGGATCATGGTCTTATTTTGCTGTATGGCCAAGGGCTCTTCTCTCCTGCAGTGCAGCCAAGACAGGCTGTGATAAGGCATGAAGCCAGCAGCAGAAACCCTATTCCTCTCCCTGTTCTTATGACTTGGTAGAATTGAAACTGCCCCTAGAGATGAAAGGGCTGTGGGAGTTGTGTTGCCCTGGTCTTGTGCAGGTTTTGGGGAGCGAGTAGGTGTAATCTCTGCTGATCTAGTAGGGGAAGCACTGGCTCATACTTAACTTCACGGAAGGGAGAGCATGGGGATTTAGAAGCCAGAATTTAACTTCCAGCCATTGTACTAACCTGTATCTCTCGCTCAATCTGTAGTATGAGGAACATGCCACTTTACAGGGATGAGGAATAATGCAGTCTGACATTCTCATGACCATCTCTTTGGTTCCTCTGGCAGAGTAGTTTCCAGAGCAGGGTTAGTAGCATCTGTCCTTCTTTTCTGTCTCTGGAGTACAAGCCACAGTAGCTGGGAGGGTTCCAGTGGCAAAGGAAGGTGCTAATCCTCTGTCTGTGTTGCAGCTTGGCTTCAACATCCGAGGAGGAAAGGCATCTCAGCTGGGGATCTTCATTTCCAAGGTGTGTTCACCCCTCTGTCCACCATTTCCTTGATCTCTCAGTTATATTGCTTTTTGCTCTTTCTTATACTTATTCATAGAATCATAGAAGTAGGGTTGGAAGGGACCTTGCA